CACTACTAACCAAGCTAATTAGTGAAAAATACTCATGCTGATGAACACACAATTTCATCAACTCCTTGCACTGTTTCTCTTGTTTTTCCTTTTTAGGAAAAAACTATTTTTTAGTCAGCAGTGTCTAGTTATGGTTGCTAACACTTAATCATTGTAAAAATGTGAAACATATTCAAATGGCAGAAATATTACATACCAATGGTGGGGCTACTGTTGCTGTTGGAGTAGTTAGCGTTGACAACAAGCACAGATATATTCTGTGATCCTGCTGTGTGACTGTCTTGTAGTGTACTAGCTGGAGAGGAGGAGGATGTGGAGGAAGAAGGCAAAGAGGATGCTTTTGTCGTAGAGGAGGAGGTGGCTTTGGCCGATGATGAAGAGGAGCTTTTGGTCCAAGCAGCTTTAGACAGCAGCCCTAAAGGTTTTCCAACCACTGGAGCCTGCAGCTCTGCTGTCTCTGCCAGCATGGTTAGGACAGATGAGAAAGCTGCCTGCTCTCTTCTTTCCTCTCCATCTGTCTGTAGCCTCCGCTGCCCCAGCCAGGGAGCTGTGTCCCCAGGCATGCTCGGCAGGTCTTCCCCTTCTGTGTCTACGGGGCTCCATTCTGCTCCGACTTCAGCCCAAGCACCAGTTCCTGTCATAATCCCAGTCTCGGTAAAGACTTTGCCACCCGCTTCAGCACGCACTCCTGCTTCTGTTTCTGTCCAAACTGCTGTTCTGGCTTCAGCAAACACTTTTGCCTCAGGCCAAGCTTCAGACCCAGCATCAGGACCAGTGTGAGGCCCATCCATTGTATCCTTGTTGTTAGCCCCAGCTTTGTCTCCAATCCCAGGGGTGGCCGAGAGGTTGGAAGTCACTGCGGGGTCCAGAAGCAAGTCAGCCTGCCTCATTGACTCATGATGACCTCCCTCAGCTGCTGGAAACAGAGTGATGGAGAGGGAAATGGGGAAAGAAAAAGAAAGAATAGAGTTTAATTAGGAGTTCTGGACAACAGCACGATAGTGAGCAGTCTGTGACTCATCAGTCCCACAAGCTAGACAATTACTTTTATGGTAACACGTTCCCATCCATGCACATAAACACACAGCTGGAATCCTCAGATCATTAGTCCTCATAATGCCATCACAACTTTCCAGATGCCAGGAGATTTTAACTGCTTTGCTCATCACTGGGGAAAAAATAAAAGTTCCTCCCTCACTCTCTGCAAAACAAACACACACACACACACTCTTTTTTTACCCCTCTGTCTCTCACACATTTATCCAAAGGGATTAAAGCTGCAACTGTGGAAAATAGTAATAATGTCTAAAGTAGGTCACTTATGTTTTTAGAGGATAAAGCATAGGGAATTAATTTAGATGTTCCAGAGTGCATTAGGACACACACATGCACACACACACGCAAATCCTAATCAGCTGTGATTTCACAGATACTAATCTGATCTGTTAGGTTAGCCGTGCTACGCGTGGCGTTATTATTCCTAGAACATACACAAGCGCTCAGCTCAAGTCAAATGATCTGTTTTCCAGGCAAAGTTTGGTGTGGCTTATTTTTAAGTAATCACAGTTTTATGGCGTCATTTTTCATTTGGTAAACATCAGATGATACATTCAGTCAAAGCATTTAGCTCCGGTCTTTATCTCCATTCTGTAAACTGTCTTCATCTTCTCAACAAAGCCTGAAGGTTTGGCAGAGAAAGGTGATCATCATGCCTAATACATTCAGGCTCAAAGGCACCTTGCCTTAGTGGAAATGAACAATGAAGAAATACAAGACTGACCGTCTGATTGGCTTGCTGGACGTCTCAGTGTGTGTTACGGTTTACTGCATTTGCTCATTTGTTCTGAAGTCAAAAAGTTTGGTTTTGGCCTCAATCCAGGTAGATGTTGCATGTTTTTGGAGTTTTTTTTCTTTTCTTTTTTTGGTTTCCAGCCAAAAGATTATAAGAGAAGTAAATCTGGATAGATTTTTTTTCAGCACACACTCATTTTAGCCTGTGTGTTAAGTGTGCATGTGTGACGCACACTTCCCACGCTCCCCATGTCTCTGAGGAGGATTGGTTAATTAAAAGACCGTGATTCTGAGCAAGAGAAGCTTTATAGAACTAGCTCTGAGCTTAGCTGCTGTATATCCTCTGGACACCTGCTAGAAAGCCTTCCAACCACCGCACTATTAACTACCACCAATCTGTTCCTCATTAAAGGATGTCATACTATAAATATCATTTAAAGTGGAAGTTAAGCTACTGCAATTTATATTGCAGCTGCTTTATGTTATAGCAAGCTGAGCTCCAATAGCGATCTTTGCTTTTAATTAAGTTTAGTTTCCAATTTCCTTTCTTGTTTCAGTTTTTTTTAATATTTAATTTTAGCTTAGTCTTTTGTGGTAGCTTTATTGTATTCAGTAAATTTCAGTAAAAAAGGAAATTATTAAAAGCAGTGGTGTCTCAGTCTTGTAGACCTCCAAAGTCTGAATGAACATGTCCATCAAAAACTCATCAGGCAAGTTTTGATACAATTTTGATACAAACTAACAATTCAATTCAGTTTTATTTATTCAGCACCAAATCACAACAACAGTCGTCTCAAGGGGCTTTATATTGTACAGTAGATCCTACAATAATAGATACAGAAAAAAATCCAACAATCATATGACCCCCTATGAGCAAGCACTTTGGCGACAGAGGGAAGGAAAAACTCCCTTTTAACAGGAAGAAACCTCCGGCAGAACCAGGCTCAGGGAGGGGGCGTGGCCATCTGCTGCGACCGGTTGGGGTGAGAGAAGGAAGACAGGATAAAAGACATGCTGATACTTCTCCTCTGATTTTTATTCTATTTTAATCTGTTTTATAGGTTTACAAAATTGTTTGAGTTCCTTTAAATTTGTATTTTATTTAACTAAAATGTTTTTTCACATCTAGCTTTAGCTATTAGTTTAGTTTTAGTTAACTATAATAACCTTGAGAGGAATGTGATTAGTAAATCTACCCTAAAAGTTGACATTTGGCACATAGTTCTTGATAATGTTTAAAAGTAAAAGTGGTACAGAGCATATTAATTTACTGTAATTTGTACAAACATAAGTACATAATACTTATTGAGGATTCTTTTCTTTCCATAGTCAACTTTTTGTTTCTTTAAGTAGCTAACAGGAATCTGTTTATTTGAATGGACATGGAATGAATGAATGATGGACGGTGTCGAGGATGGAAGGCCTTTACCATATGCATAACTGTTAGCAGTGATTTGAGCGTTTTCTCCGCCAACAGTTGGCCACCTGCTCAGGCTGAGAGCAACATATGCGACTCTACCATCAGACCTCTGACAAAACACTAGGATAGAAGAACCTCTACTGAGAACAAATATGGACAGGATGGATGGATAGATGGTAGGTGGATGGCGGAACAGAAAATATGGATTAAAGATGGATAAATGTAGATCTGTCCAGACATGACATGCTTTCTCTACTTGGAAAAGACACACTGAACATGTCCATGTGAGAACATTCGGCTTTTAGCAGATTATGAGAATCATCACATGAAAACGATGCACAAAGCAGGCCGTTTAGGTCGTACTATGTATTGACGATAGCGAGTTTCCAGCTGGCATCGTTTCTGCCGATGTCCCACTGCATCTCTGCAGATGCCAACACAAACCTGTAAAACCTTGCCAGGTCACTGCAAGCTTTCTGACCACTCCGGCTTGCTATTTTCAGGTGCCTGTGATAATATCCGGGTATAATCTCTTTGGTCAGGGCTTTGCCTTCCTCACTCCTGTATTCCATGCTCAAAGCTTCCGGCCAACAAAAGTTGATCCATGCTGCCGCTCTGACTGAGCAGGACAGGTGGTTAGGAAGTGTGAGAACAGAACTGTGCCAATTGGTCGTCAACATGGAGAGAAAAACTGAGGAGGGGGAGTGTGGCAGCTCAGTCTGCCAACCAGCCAACTGGTGGCTGGTTTTCATTCAGGTAATTATCACACATGCTGGATAAAAAAAATCAAAATGTCTTGATCTCCACCTCAGAGCTGCAGGCAAGATTTGTCTATGTGACTAAACTACATAGTACATCATCACCCTGCAGTACAGAAGAGTGTCACATTATGCGCACTAATGAAGACGCTGCAGTTTCAACTCATTAGGCCAAATAAAATAGCATTGTTAGTAACAGGCAGAGCGTTTTTCACATACACAATGCAATCAGTGGATGCGCTCACAATGCCGGGACCTTCAGCAAAAGATGTCATCATGTCACATTCAGCCTGGTGTTCTATAAAGACATTAAATTCATTTATCAACAACGACTGCACAAAAGCTGCTCAGGATGGTTACAAGTCTTATCTCAAAGCGAGGCACACTGAGCACTGCTGTGAGGGACAATTTTTACTTTCACAAATTAAAATATTTACTTGAAACTTTGTTGTAATTATCAAAGTTTCCAAGGAATGAATTACTGGTGATCTAGTGTATATTTTAGTTGGTCTACCTGAGCTAATACTAATGTATTTAATGTAATTAAAAACTAGCTTGCAAATTGCATCTTTATCTCTTAAATTAGCCGTGATGAAAGGCTAAATGTTAACATGTTACCATTTTTATTGCAAAATTTTAAGAATTGGTTGGCATGACCTTTACCCTTGCAGTTATAGCTATTTTTTTATTTAGTCTATTTTATTTTAATCTGGTATTCCCAGCATGTACAGTTGTGCATTTACATGTCTAGCAAAAATAGCATTTAAATGACCTGAATATTTACTTTAAGTGTTTAGTGAACTCTGTCATATAAATGCATTTAATGAAAATCATCCGTCTTTACCTTACTTACTGTTGTTCCAGACTGGGTGGTTACTGTAGGGTACATTATTTTAGCTCGTTCGCTGGAAATCAAGCTTGGACTGAATAATATGGTCTATTTATTTTGTTAACAGCTTATCCACTTATCCCAGCTGTCAAAGGGTAAGAGGCAGGGTACACACTGGACAGTTTGCCAGAGAATTACAGGTATGTGCTGAATACGCAAAACAAATTTGCAACTGCCCTCAGAGCATGTGTATGTACAACTGATTCAGCTGAATTTAATCCAGATCATTGGCAGCGGTATTTTTACATTCATTTGTTGTCTAAGGCTTCAAAGCTCAGCAGTTGGTGGGGATTTTCCAGTTAAGGTAATTTCTAAAATGTAAGACAAATAGAGGTCACACTCACAACCAACATGCTGAGGGGCCAAATTCACTAATATGTGTGCAAAAGTGTTTGTCATTTGCAAACAAAACGAGTGTGCGTGTTGTTCTTACAGTTTTGTTTAGGATAATGAAACAGATTTATTCTGGACTGCCTTCTGCATGCTCTCTTTTTCTTTTCCCTTTTCTCTCACCTCATCAATAGGCCACAAATAATTCCCGCCCCTGCATCAGTCTCATTCTGCTGGAGGTTTCTTCCTGCTAAAAGGAAATTCTTCTTTCTCATCGTCACAATGTGCTTGTTCATAGGGGGTTATTTGATTGTTGAACACTCTAGGATCTTTACCTTACAGTAAAAAGTGCCTTGAGGCAACTTTTTTTTCCTCATTTGGCACTATATGAATTACTATTTGTACAATGTACATGTGTTTACATTTTGATCATTTGCACATACACAAACCGATGGGAGTTGCACATTTCTGTGCAGAGTAAGAACAACTTCATGGGACAAAATTGAATTTTTTTGTGGACTGGTGTTTAAAGCATTTGCATGGTTTTAGCACCTATCTACATATTTGTCTCTACACAGTGCTGTGAATGAGGTCCAAGGTCTCTGTGTAAAGCAAGACTGTGAGGATCATGGAAATTTTTTTTCTCAATGCTATTGTTTTTCCTTTTAAAAAATAAAGTGTTTGACTTGCTACCAGGACTCCCACTCTAACCACAAAGCACTCAT